GGTGTCAGCTGCTGTTTGCCGGTCGCATGAACTTGAAGAGGTGTTTTGTGTTTCTTGCAGGTGTGCTGGTGTCGGCTGTGAGCGCTGAAAGCAGCCGGCCCCGCCGCCCCCGGCATGGCGTTCGTCACCGCGCAAGGGCCCACCGTGGTGGACCAAACCACTCTGATGAAAAAATACCTGCAGTTCGTGGCCGCTCTTACAGATGTCAACACACGTAAGATGCGCTTTTTTCCCTCTTTTCTTTTTTTTTTTCCTTTTGTGCTGCGGGTTGCCGTGTTTCCGTCGTTTGCTTCACAGACAGGGGCGGCGTTGGTTAGACTAGCGGGGGTAAAGGCGTGCTGGATTCGCTTTGGATTTGGTTTGAGTTTTGATTTTTGAAGAAGCAAAGTGATGAGTAATATTTGCATGAGCCGAAGCGAGAGAGCTGTGTGCGTGTGCCGTTGTATGACAGAGGGATGTTTGTGAGAATCGTGTGCCTTCTACCTGGGCGGTGATAGCTGGACTGATAAGATCTGATTGCTTCTTTGATCGGTGGAGCTGGTGTCCCTTCTACGATGTAGTTTTACATTTAATTTCTTTTGCTTCAATTTCCGTTTTCAGCCGATGAAACCAAATTGAAAATGATGCAAGAAGTCAGTGAGAATTTTGAGGTAAACTTAAAAAAAAAATTGCTTCCTGAACGATAGTCCTTCTTTTGCCTAATGTATGTCAGCTTGATTTCTGATGTTATGTGTAAAGCTTAATATTGTGTTTTATGATTTATCTTGTAAGTCACCAATGTTAGGATTATATTTATGTATGGAAATCTTCATTTTTTATTATGTTTCTGTCTTGTTTGGAATTAGCAAGATTATTGAAGAATTATGACTTCTGGGCTTGGAGATCTCTAATCTTTTCTCGATAAATGTTTAAATAAAGGTGATGTGATAGATTTTTTTTTCTTCCATTTTGGCTAACTATCTGAAACCTATGTATTTGGAACTTTCTTTTATTTAATTCAAATATATATTTGGTCCTCATGAAGTAGAAGACTAGATAGGCCTTCGCAGATTTTTCTGCATAGTTTCATAGCACAGAAGTGAGGGGGCAGTTGTCCAATGTGGAATCTGACATTAGAAGTGAAGACAGTTCCAGTGACCTCTTTTGCATCGTAATAGACCATCAAGTTTAGATCAGCAGCAATGAAGTTAAACTAACTATGTGTTCATGGGAATTGTACTTTTATTGAGTACTGAGTTACTATGTGTCTATTTTGAAATTACAGAGAACTTGTTATTTTGTAATGTAAGTTTAAGGTCTCTGAATCACTGTAATTCTCTGTATCTAGTTTCTTAGTTATACTGCTTTGAAAATGTGCTTGTGAGAACAATGCCCTGCTGTAACACACTCTGTTTTATAAACTTCATTTGAAGTGATCTCTGTTAGTCTGAGATGCTGACACAAAAATACCCATTCCAGTGCTGTTTAATGTCTTCAAATATTTTTCTGTCAGCTTTGCGCAAAGTTACGTCCAACAGGTTGCTGCATTCCAGTGCTGTTTGTGCAAGGTTGTACCAATTTCAGTTGTTCCTGTGCTATTAATGGAATTTCCTGTCCAGTGAATTGTT